ATAAAAAAATATAGTTAGTAGTCTTTTAGATCTACTACTATAGAGTTTTAAACTCTTCTATATCTAGAATAATATCTAGAATAGTAGTAGTCTTAAAAGAAAAGTTCTTCTTATTACTATTACTATTATTAGTAAATATAGAACTTCTATAATAACTACTATTATTCTCTAGTATCTAGCTAGATATAGTAGGTTAGAAATTTCTTATAAAACTACTAAGTAGTATACTAGTATTCTAAATATTAGTATTAGTTAATATATTAGGCTTAAGTAGAGATAATAAAGAAGAACTATTACTATCTTTAGAATCTACGTTACTATACTTAACTATAGAAAGACTATTATTAATAAAACTATTAATAGAAAAAGATTAGAGTATATCTTTATTAATCTTAATATCTTAATAGTCTAGGTAGTACTTAACTAGGTACTAAAGCTAGGTAAGAATAATAAGTTAATAGACTTTATAGTCTTTCTTAAATTACTAGTTAATAGCGTCTAGATTCTTCTACTTACTAGTAGAGAGCTTTAGAATAATAATATTAAGATTCTAAGAAAGAAGTAGAAGCTTACTAAATACTTTACTAATATTTATAAAGAAGTAGTAAATATATTTCTAATACTTATACTAGATATCTTAGTACTACTAGATCTCTATAAAGACATAAATATAAGTAATAAGTATCTTTTTAATATATATAAGAGTAGAAAGAGTAGTAGATATAAGTCTAGAATTAAAATAGTTTTCTAAACTCTATAAAGGTATATAGCTAGACTTCTCTAAGTTCTTTACTTAATTATCTTAGTAGATTCTATACTCTTCTCTCTAAATACCTAGCTTAAACTAGTAATAGTTATAGACGTTATAGGTCTTAAGCTAAATCTTATTTAGATACTTATAAAAAGTAGTAATTAGAGTCTTATTCTATTTAGATATTATAGGTTCTTATAGAAAATTAGAATAAGTAGAATCTAGAATAGAAGATAGAGTTAGTATATTATATAGTTAAGTATTCGCTTTTATCTTAGCTATAGTAAAGTTATTTAGCGTAAGTTTATTATTATTTAATAGAAATTAGTACTATATACTCTACTAAGAAGATAGAAACGCTAAGAGTAAGAACTAAGTAGATAAGTCTTACTAAGAGTTCTACTAGAATAAGAGAAGAGTAGAGAAAGAGTACTAACTTAATAAGTCTTACTAAAAGAATATTAGTAAGTTACTAGTAGAGATAAATAGCTAGATATTAGTTATAGTATTAGACTATAGTATAAATAGTATACTAGATATAAAGAAGAGATTATAAAAGAAGAGATTCTTCTAGAGTTATAAGGTAGAAGTTACTATAGTCTATTTAACTATAGTATAAGAGCTTAGCCTCTAAAGAAGAGAGAAGAGAGAGTTAAGAATAGAGAAATTAGTAATATCTAAAAGCATCTACTACTTTCTAGATAGAGATTACGTAGCTTTATCTATACGCTATTAGTAGTAGATAAGTTAAGAATTAGAATAAAAACTATACGTTTTCTTCTATTTTTTACTCTTAAATCTATCTACTATATACTAAAAAGATTAATTATAATAATTATAAAAAGATAGTAAAAAATTAAATATTATAGATATAAGTAGTATTATATAAAAAGGTAGTAATAGAAAAAATAGTAAATAATTTTAGTATATATTTTCTATATAAAATATTATAATAACTAATATCTAAACTAATACTATATAGGTTTATTTCTAAACTTTTAATATTTTATAGCTAAAGAGAGTACGTAGAGCTCTAATTAGACGTAGCTATATAGTAGTATATATTTCTATTATCTAATTAGCTAATTAATTATATCTAATTATACCTAATTCTAATTATATCTAATTACTTTTTAGTAGAACGTTAGAGTTTCTAATTAGGTAATTTTTTTATCTAAATTAGAAACTAAAGTTTTACTAGTATTCTATAAATCTAATTATAATTACTCTACTTATACTTTACTATGTAATAATATTATTATTTCTCTTAAGCTCTAAATTAATAAATTCTATATTTATACTAATTATTTTACTCTTTATTTTCTTTATCTTATATATTAGACTTATTATTCTTAAGAGCTTTATTTTACTCTAATATTTAAGCTTTTTTTCTATAGTAAACTTAGCTATAATTATAACCTTTTAAAGTATTTTAAAACTAAGCCTACTATTAATTATAGCTTTATAAGATATTAGAAGATATAATATACTTTATAAATAAACGCTTTATATAAATAAATACTTTAAAAATACTAAGCTCTTACTAAATACTATTATTTCTATTATAAAGCTCTCTATAAACGCCTAATTAACTTTAAATAAATTCTAAATATAGCTTATACTCTAGACTATTTAATAGAACCTAGAGCTAAGCTTATAGTACGCTATAGCTCTCTATAACGTAGAGTAGAAGAAAGTCTACTATTAATACTATAGAGTTACTCTATAATATAAAAAGATATCTAATTTAATAAAGCTTATAAAAAATAAAGAGTAGGTAATAGTTAAGTATATACTTAACCTAGACGCGTAAGAATTTACTCTCTAGCTTGCTACTATTTAAGATATAGCTAATAAGCTACTTACTAAGTAAGAGAGAAAAGTTATAGGTAGAAACTAGCTAAATAACTTTATTACGCGCTATTCTAAGCTTAAAACGTAGCTTAATCGCAAGTATAACTATTAGAGAGTAAAGTAAGAAGATTCTATAATTATTTAGGCGTAGTTTAACCTAGTAGATAATATAAAGATAAAGTATAATATTACTAATAAAGATACGTATAATTTTAATAAATCTAGCTTTATAATAGAAATAATATCGCCTTAGGTAGTAGTTACTAGCTCTAAGAAATAATTATAACTAAAGAGTATTTAACTAGATAATTATAAGTAGATTTCGATAATTATAATAGTAAGAGTAGTAGATAATATATAGATTCTACTATTTCTTATTATTATAGGTAAGAACTACCTTTTAGCATAGTATAAAAGTAGCTAGCTACTATATAACTAGGTTATAGCTATTTCTAAAAGCGGCTAGATAATAAATAAAGTTAGTATTATATAGTTAAAGTACTTTAATATATATACTAAGAGTTATATTATAGACGTATATTATCTACTAATTTTAGATAGCTATAAAAGCTATAGGTCTATTAAATTCTAGTAGTACTATAAGAAGAATAAAATTATAGCTCTCTATATAACGTACTTTATTATCGAACCTTCTATATTATTAAACCCCCCACGATTTCTTAGCAACGAAAATTAACGAAAACTAACCCGTTTTTCTTAAATAACTAAGCGAAACCTTAATATTATTCTATAAAAATTTATGTATATATTCCTTATAGTATATTACACCTTATAGTAAAGCTGTACTAAGATATATTACGTAATTAAAAAGCTATACGTATTAAACTAACTTTTAAGAAAAAATCTAGTTTTCTTCTAGTTAGTACTATTATATCTTTATAATAATATATAAAACTTATAGTATATAATATTTATAACCTAATTAAGGTTTCTAGAAAACTTTTATAGAGCTAGCTCTTCTAGGTATAGCGTAATAAGAGATAGAAGTTAGATAAATATCTTCTTTAGAGTTTTCTCTTCTAACTATATATATATATAGTTAATCTAGCTATATAAACTTATTATTATATAAATTATAGTAGGCTCTAACTATATAGAGCTTATTAACTAATAATATAGAAGCTTTAAGTAGTTATTTAAAAGTAAAGCCTTTTTAGTAGTATAGTAAAGAAAGAAAGAAATATACTAAAGCTATCTTAAAATTATTACTTATAAATATATAGAAGGCTTATAGTATATATAATCTTATTATATATAACTTTATATAGCTAGATTATTTATATATATCTATAGTTAGAGAAGAAAACTCTAGAAAGACTTTTTTTAAAGTTATACCTCTAATTACGCTATACCTAGAAGAGCTAGCTCTATAAAAGTTTTCTAGAAACCTTAATTAGGTTATAAATATTATATACTATAAGTTTTATATATTATTATAAAGATATAATAGTACTAACTAGAAGAAAACTAGATTTTTTCTTAAAAGTTAGTTTAATACGTATAGCTTTTTAATTATGTAATATATCTTAGTGTAAATTTAGTATAAGGTGTAATATACTATAAAGAATATATATTATAATTTTTATAGAAAAGCATTAAGGTTTTGCTTAGTTATTTAAGAAAAACAAGTTAATTTTTGTTAATTTTCTTGCTAAGAAAAAGGTAGTTAGCTTGCTTATATAGTTAGTTTACTTATAAAGTACGTTATAAATAAAAAATAAGAATTTAAGATATATAATAAGTTATATAATATTAAGCTATAAAGGTATAAAGGTATAAGATAGATATCTACTATACTAAGACGCTAAGATAGTTAAGGTTATATAACTAAGCAAGTAGGTTAGTACTATAATAGTATTAATAAAGTACTTAAAAATTATAGTACTAATAAAACTAGAATTAGTAAGCTTTTTTAAAATTTTATTTTATAATATTAAAGTTTATACTATATAAAGCTTATATTTTAATTTTTATTAGTATAGCTCTAATAGTTATAAAGTTAGAGAGAGGTAAGATTTTCTAGAAACTGTGCGCCAGGTGGGGACGTGCGCCAGCTGATGAAACACGGTAGCGACCACTGCGGAGGACCAATTTCACAACTACATCTCTCATCCAGTAGGCCACCCTCCAAAGGTGAAGTGTCGTTATCTCTTGCAGCAATTTTACTAACTTCTGCAGCTATCAGCCTACAGCAAACCGACGCCGGCCACCGCCGTCAGTGTAGAGCGTCTCCGTCGACCAGCCCTCCACACCGTCCTCGAACCTACCACCGTCCTCGAACCTACCACCGTCCTTTGCACAGCCTGATACCGGATCTACATTGCGCCTAACAACGCTACACACATTTTGCTGGAAGTGGATGATAGCACAGCCGATGGAATCCATCAACGACCCGAAGCGAGTCGTCCTTCGTTTCAGCGATCAATACTGGCTTGAGGACGCGGCAATAAATGAACAATTCTTCGCTCTGCACGGCCCTGAACCTCTAAATGATTTCTACTCTCATTTAATCCCCTCCAACGAATCTTCCAAGATGTATATTATTCTGGACATCCACTGCAACTCACACCCGACCATCGACGACAGCACGATAACATACGAAGTCTTCAAAGTAAGAAAGAACGGCAACTTGTATGCAACCACATCTCTCCCATAAGTTCGAGCTGAGTTATGAGTTAGCAAATTCGAACAACTAAACGCTGCTGCATGCCAATACGCTCGCAAGCGCTGCCAGTTGATGGGGGTCAAATGGGGGACCGACCAATCTTAATCTGAGGAATTGGGTGGCGTCTCTGCCTCGCAAACAGGACAGTCTCCGGCAACGTTCGTATCTTGAACATCAAGGGTCAAAGGCAAGTCCCTTTGCTGTCCACTTGCAGGCACACAGAGTTGTTGGTTCGGGCGGGCTTGTGCTGTTTGACAGCGCAGATAGCCAGTCCTTATGTTGTGTTTAGGGTTGCGGCGACAACCGGCATACGTTTTACATGCAATACCGCACATATTGATTTGTGTAGATTTGAGTAGAATAATTAGAACGTAGAAAGATCTTGCTGAGCAACACTGAGGGACGCAAGCTGGCGCTGCGGGTGGCCTGCGGTTGGGAGTTGCCTCGAGGTCGTGCGATGGATTATGGTGACGCTGGCTGCCGTTCGTCCGGCTGATAAGCACAACGCCCCACTTCTGCTTGGGACTCGCCGTGTGAACTTCTGGGCTGGGCGAGAAGTCCATGGGCGCCGGGACAATTATCCTGGCAACTGGCGAAGTTGGGATAGTTCACGACAGCACAGTAACACCAAAGGCATTGCTGAATGACCATTTGCGCCAAAGTACGGCAAAGTCCAATTCCTCTAATTCCTGCAAACACTACAGGTCGCGGCCAGCGCGAGCCTCAAGACAATCTTGTGCCCCGCCTTTCGCTCATCCACACCACTGGGGCCATTGCGGCCTGTGCCTCGACGGCCTTCGCTTCGTCGACGGCCTTTGAATAGAACCACCTGTGGCCGCTTCCGAGATCCTCCAAACCCGCCATGTTTGGCAGCACACAGCCACGCGCGCAATCTCCTGTCTTTTGCATGCAGCTGGGTCTAGCGCAGTCAGGGAAGCCAGACAGTACGACAGCACTTCGCCCCTGACCACTGCTCGTTGGTAATACGGGAGACACTAATTGGGCTACGATGTCTCCGGAGCGGAAAATCTATCCTTCCGAAGCCTTTCGCCTCCGCATCTCGAGCTCACTCACTCCGCAGACCTGCGCGCCAGTGGCTGGAAATATTCATCAGAGACGCGTTCTCTGGCGGGTAGTAATAGATCTTGCAGCCCGCCGCTAGCTGTCGGCTGTTGGGGACTCAGCGCGATGAAAATTTTCATCGACTCGCTGACCGCACCATAACCACATCACCTACTGCCTCCGCTTGGGCGATGCGGTCGTCTACCTAGGGAGGCTCATCAGGAACCCGGGATACGGCAACCCCATCCGACCCACGACTACCTGGCTCGCAGACGGACCGAAACTGGTGTCATCCAGCCGGTTAATAACAGGGCTTGCCACCAACCCTGAGACCTATGATGGACACGGCGGAGGTAGAGGCAACTTATTTTCATGAGAGCTTGTTAAGGTTAAAGCGTCGCAGATTCCCTCGCTCCAGGCTTGTTAAAGCCCCTCTAAACCCGATACACCCAGAAGACTCAGAGACGAGCCTTACTAGACGACGGCGATTGTACGGCTCGACGGGGTCCGCCGGGACACACAGTCTTCATATGCGCAGCCGACCTACGACGAGGTCTCGACGACTAGAGACGCAAGAAGGCTCATGAAAGGACAAATGGAAATATTGGCATACACAGAGACGGATACTTGGATTGCACAGATGCGAAAGCTCGGGCTCGCCCTTGATTGCTAGTCGACTGGAGTTAGCTGTGGACGGATGCTTAACTGATTGCTTAGGCAGTTAATTCCTGGTAGATGTCAAGTCACTCGGAGCGACGGGTGAGGAGGGGTGGGCGCGGCGCTCGAGCGACGGATATAACAACTAAGAGGATGCCCCTCGCTCACAATGCTATAATTTCATCCCATGTGTCGGGACAATCCCCAGAGCCCGTGATTTGCAGCAGATCATGGAGTGAGATCTTGCTCCAGCTGGAGAACGTATAGAAGTGCCCAAATTCCGCGCCTCTTGGCTCATATCTCAGTCCACACTCCTAAGCATCGCCTGGCCCCAGTCGTTTCTTTCATCCCTTCAAGCTACCATGCTTGTCACCCTGCTTCAAAATCACGTCGCCCTTTCTAGCGCCTCGATATCCCGAACCACGTCCTCAGCAGCTTCATATTCCTTCTGCCAGCACTTCAACGTAATAGCGCTGCAAGCATGTTCGTCTTGTGGAAACTGCTTGCTCACAAATCTCTCCCTTACTTTCCTATGCCATCCCTCTTCGCCGTCGACAATGTCAGGGAACACCGCATGCCCCATCATAATAAAGTAGATAGTGCAGCCTAGCGCGAAGAGATCCGTTTTTACGTCCGCATCGCAAGGATCGTCGCGGGGGCAGTAGAACCTGCAGGGTTCGCCGCTCCAGCCGTCTAGCAGCACATCGCCGGTCTCTGATAATTGCTTGCCCTGGAAATCGGAAAGCTTGATGTGGAAGGCCTCATCGAGAAGGAGGTTAGTAGGCTGGATGTCGCAGTGAATTATGCGGCGGCCATGAACCCACGCGACTGCCTCAGCAGTCTCGCGGCACCAAGCTAGGCGCAGCTTAAGCGAAGGGGCCGGTTTGTTAGACTCCAGCAGGTAGTAGGCGACGGTTCCGTTCACGGCCCGTTCCAGGTAGAGGCCGGCCTTGGAGAAGCTCTTGAACCCTATAATCCGCTCATGTTGCCCAACGACCTCAAGAAGCTTGCCCTCTACTTCCAGGCGGGTCATATCTTCTCCTGGGGCACGAGGATATTTCAAGACGGTTGAATCGTCTACCTCCCCAATAAATGCGCTGCTTCCCGTCGCAAGGAATCGCTTTACGCCGGGAGGACAGTAAACCTGGTAATAACTAACAGTTCCTCCTATTTCGTCCATGGTAAAGGTAGAATAGTCTGAAGATATTGGTGAAGTCGTGGAAGCTTGCCGTGCGCTTGAAGAACGGCGATTTGGGCGTTGGGTATAATTTTTGGCCGTGCGCACAGGAGGCTGTGTTTTAAAAGGGCTAACATGGCCGGGCCAATCAGCGATGTGCACAGCGGAACAAGGTTTACAACTTCAGAACATGCCCGACTATTCCCGTCTTCTCCTAAAAAGAAGCGAATAGGAACAGGTATGATTGTCTATCGCTAGGGGAGATGCAGCACAGATGAATCCACCTCCTATGCGCCCATCCACAACAAGCGAACCCACGGATCGCCGCAGGAGCAACCCATCGTACCGAGCAGACCTATAGCCAACGTCGAACCTTCACAGTTATTCTTTATCGTACTTGACCGAAACAACATCACAGCTGCCCATCGCACCGCGGATCTGATAAGTCCTTTGGAGGCAGACAGATCGCTCCCGCATCGCCCCGAACCATGGCTACCAAATCACAGCTCCTCCGCCTTCACCCATGCGAAATCCGTTGGCGCTTGTCGCTAGGTCATCCTGTCAACAAGCGCGGATCGATTCTGTTCATGAGATCAGTGTCTCCCGACGACGCCAAAGTTTGGCTGCTGGGGGTTGTCGAAGCGGGCATCGCGAGGGGCTCGCTATTTGCGGCGACAGCGGCGCCCTCCTCTGCCGAGTCCCTCTTTCGCTTTCTTGCGTGGAAATCGTCAGGGGACCGAAGCTTAGCATGGCACATAGCTATGTGCTCATACCACGCGGCGGCTCCGTCGATCTGGGCGTCATCTCTGCCCTGGTGATAGCAGTCGGGGCATGAAAATGGCTGCTCGAAACGTTTCTCTTTTTGTTCATGGGTAGATATCGTGTGTCTCGTTAGGCCTGACGAGTTGCCACAGATGCGCCCACACAGCGGACAGCGCGTCGCACCATCACCCGCAGGTGGATAGGAGGGAAGGTTGGGCGCGTGGATATGGCCATGAACGGTTTGGACATGGCTGCTCCACGCCGACGGGCCCCCGTCGATGAAGACAAGGCCAATTCCCTGGCTGCGGCACTCGGGACAAGGGAAGGGCCGGTCAAACGTCCCCGTACGGACATGCTTCCTCAGATAATGCCTCGTAAGCGTGCTCTTGTCCGCAAAGGGTCCACATCCGAGCAGACATGTAGGCGTCTGCGGGAGAGAGTCATTGCGCAGCTCTTTCGTTCCCGTGGGAGGGTGGGCATGGTCTGAGTTATCGTCGATGTTTCGTGCATCGCCCATGCTGTTCCGCCTCCCAGCCAGGTCAGCCCCAATCTTCGGCGGGCCCGGCTCCGAAGACGGACGTTGTGATGGTCGGCAGGCGAGGTAATCGACAATAAGCTGCATATAGACCTTTGAGCGTTGGTCCGTTGATGAGCCTCCGTGCACCTGCTCAGTGCATTCTTGCAGAAACCGGGCAACAGAAGCTTCCGCGCAATCGCTAGGCTGTGGCGAGGCCTTTCCTAGGAGGAACTTGCTTGCAAGGTCCGTGGTTGGCAATCCTTGCGCTCTCAGATGATCCACGCGCTCGAAGTATTCTTTCCTGTTCTCGAGCAACTGCAGTTGCGAGAGCGTCGCCAGAAGGTTCTAGAGCTGCAATTTGATTGTCTTCTTTGCTGTATCATCTCCTGCCCGGGATGCTGTTTCTAGGGACGCGCGGAGAGCTTTGACGTCGTTGCGCTGCTCGAATTTTTGCAAGTCTTCTTGGCCTATCTCTGTTGGAGCACCTGCGTCCCGGCTAAGCGACATGTTACGCAGGCGTCGAAAAAGGCTATCGTTGTGTCCAGCCCTTGGCCCGAATGCCAATCTCGTAAGATCTTCGCGGACTCGCTTCGGCTGATAACTACCCTCAAATACGCCGGTGGTATTGGACAGGACGTAGTTACGCACGGCGGGAGTAAGACAACCTGTCGCAGAGAAAGAAGACGTCAGCGGCGGCTCCTTAGAGCGAAGGGCTTAGGTGGTAGGATGATCCTAAACGTAGGGCTTCTTGCTTACCATCAAGTTTACCTCCGGCGCCGACACGCGTCGCGTGGAAGCGCGGATCCCCACGGGAACCGCTGACGAGCCATAATCGATGCCACAAGTTGTGAAGAGTGGTCTTTGCGACTTCGAAGATGGGGCGGTTAAGCATATCCGCTTTCCATGCCAACGGCACGTAGTCGACCTCGTCAAGGTTGGGTTGATCGAGTAGCTCTTCGATGGACTGGTAGCCAGCACTAAACGCATTGTCCTTGACCGCACACGCGCCTACAAGGCTAGCTAGGCAAATGAGAGGGTACGGAACGAGCGTCAGGAAAAAGGATAGACTGAGAGCATTAGACAGTTAGCACAAGGCCCTGGAGCTGCAAGGGAAGTAGAAACGACGGCCAACTCACGCCTTCGCCCTTGAAGCTTGCATGGAGGCCCGCCTCTGCTTGTTCTTTCCGATTGTCGGCGTAACCACGGGTATTCCCTTCGATGGGTCGCCTTTGAAAGTGACTTGCGCGTTCCTTTCATGGCTGGGATGGGTACGGCTCATGCTGGAAATCCTGGCCTGAACCTCTCGAACCTGTTTCCCGCGTGTGGAGTATGGGTGAAGCAGCCGGCTGCGGGGGGTCGAACGCCGAATTAGCGGAAGACGGCGACGTCGGCGACGCGAAGTGGTCGTGGCGCACAAGTGGATGGGTCGCGCAAGCTCGTGGGTGAATCGAGCGGGTTACCCCGTTCGACTGTCACGGATCCGATAGATCGAGGATCGCGGAGGGCTCAGATGCGTGCAGTTTGAGGCGGGAGATCGCAACGAGCGGGAAGCAGGCAGGGTGGGTATATGTGTAGACAGGTCCAGGCCGGGGACCCCCCAAAAAGGGGGGCCCTCTCGGCGCAAGCACTCTGCGCATGTCGGCGGACTCTGCTCCGTAAGCGATCGGAATCGAGCGCCAGGAGCGCGGGCGGTCGTCGGTGGAGAGGGGAGAGCTGGCCCCGTGGAAGGCGACGGGCATTGACAGCGGCACAGCTGTCGAGAGTGGGGTGCAAGGGAGACGGAGGAGGAGGAGGGTGAAAGAGGCGACGTCGAGGCGTGGTGGATATAGCGGAGGTTCCCAAGGTTTGGCGGGAGGATCTGGGTGAAAAGTCCTCGTTAGATTTCACGGACCCAAGCGCGGAGTAAGCGTAATTTTAATCTTGCCTTGGCGTCAGCCGGTATGCCAACATTGGCCGCTTTGCCTGAAGGGCGTTGCAAGAATCATCACCCACTCGCAAAGCAATCGCCCACACAGTCGAGCCGTCGCACACAGTTATTACTCTCCCGCCTCATCGCACACCTCGCAATTATCCGTGCCCAACAACGCCAACCACGCTGTCACCGCTTCTTCGAATCCCCCGATCGTCTCTCTGCACGCTGCACATTGCCGGTACGCATATATGTGAATGAGGGAAGGCATGGCTTCACATATATGTTTGGAGCCCCCAGTCCGAATCCTTCTCCGGACTCGACGAGTCGACCTCGCGAACGTCCGTTCTTCTGTTGAAGAGGCAGACACTGAATTGATCACACAATTTTGTCGGCAGTATGGCATCGACACGGCGAATACACAGCATTTAATTACTAGACTCGACAGGAAACAGGTGGATATTCTCTTTGACTATGGTGTGCCTACGGATGACCGCCAACCAGAAGTTGCGGCTTTCAAGGTCAGAGTCAAAGACAAAGATTCGGTTCCAGGCATAGAACAACTTCTCAACCCCGTAATAAGGGCAATTGTGAACACCACGGTGGATGTATGGAAGACGGAGCTTCGCGAGAGCAAGATCAATTTCCCGCGTCGAACAGATATTGAGAAAATCCGCCGAGCTCTAGCCACTGTTGCGTCGGTGAGTGTAATCCATGAAAATAACTGGCCGAAGTACTGATTCGTGCGAAAATAGGACCCGTAGAATTGGTGTACGAAGATTTCTGTCGGAATTTGTTTTACATGTAGATAGACTATGGGATTAACCCTCACTCGCAGATGAACTTGGTGGAGTTTCAACTAAGCAACCGCAATGTCCAGTTATTTTCTCCCCCTCGACCCACTGCACTTGTGGGCAACTGTACGGATCGGGTACATCCTCTCGACATTTTTCGGGCACATCGCCATAGGGACATCCGCATTGGCTCCATTGCCGGGTTTTAATCAAGCACATAACGCTTATGGACGAAACTAGAGGCGGCTTTGGATGGGACGGAGACGGTGGCGGGGCGGACGGCGGAGCGGATGTCCAGAAGAGCCTGGCTAGTCTATCGAGCATGCCTGGCTTTTCGTCACCATATCCGCCCACGATTCCGCGCGCCGCGGTCATCACGAAGTCTTTGGACGCCTCAATGTTATTTGGACTGGCTCCCGGATTCGACGTCTCATATCTGGTGTTAAAAGATCAAGTTAGTGAAAGCGTGCCGGTTCAGTTATGTTATAGTGAGCTCACTGAGCCCATAGTGCCAAGGCTCGCGCGTAATTTTTCTTTGTCCTTGGCTGGAGCTCTTTTAGGACTTGTTTGCTATTGACGACGTCTTTCTTCTTCTCCATGGCCACGTTCTTAGCGGCCCGCTCAAAGAAGGCCTCGGGCGAAATTTTCTGCGGCGTTTTATGGATAGGTAAAGCAGCAGAATGGGAAATCGAGAGGCGAGATAATGTCCGTCCCTAGGCCGCGAGACGCACCCTGTCGCGAGACACCCAATATCAGCGGAGGGCCTCATGTCGCTGCAAACTCTAATCATGCAAAAGGACGCTCATGCTCTTGACGAGACGAGCAAAGGGTTTGCAGCGACACTTACAGAAGTTTGCTAAAGCCGCCCACTTATCCTTTACTAAGGGCGCTCTCAGCAGAACCACATCCATCTCTTAATTGCAATTAACAACGAAGCTTAGACTCGACGACAACTCAGTCAGACATATTGCTGAAGGGGACCGGGAAGGTGATTAGCTATGAGGATCTCGAGGCAGCACGGGCGAAGCGTGCTGAAAAGGATGCTCCAAAGAGGCTAACAAAGGGAAACATGGTCGGAAGCGCAAGGTTACTGCACCAGAGGTCGCTGCTAGTGTAGAGGTCGAGACGGAACAGGAGGTCGAAGCTGGTCGGGAAGTCGAGGCTGGACCGAAGGCCAAGGCTGTTCCGTCAATGCCAAAGGGCAAAGAGAAACGTGGTCGGAAGCGCAAGTACTGCGCTGGAAGCAGAGGCAGAGGCAGCTAGTTCATCAGTGCCAAAGGGCAAAGTGGCGCGATTGAGTGAAGTCAAGGCAGCGATGGACATAGAAGTGTCATGGAGGGCCCCGTTAGCAAAAATGTATTACACCGGCTATATGTACAACCTCTGAATCTGTCGTTTGGGTAAACTCAGGCAGGCAGTGATCGATGCATACGGGTTACCATGCGATTTGGTAAAAGTTCGCACGTCCCTCTTTTGTGGCAGTGCACTGTGTGGCTTGCCTGCTGCGCGTTTCTCGCCTCTGCTTCAACCCGTTTTTGCGAGAACAGCGACATCGTCCCCAACCTCCCGCCGTCCGCGACCTCCTGTCTTCTGAAGTCTCTTCGCGCCCCGCTATTGTACGACCGACGGTGTACGTTTACCTCTCGGGAGGTGAGGGGCGCCGACTCGAGCCCGCTGCTGCCACCGCCGCCGAGCACCCGGAAGCGCGTTCGACCTGCGACTCCTCACGCGACGAACCGGCATCGAATAGGTCTATACGTTCTCCTAGCCACGTCCGCCCTATCTTTAAACTCGCTGCCGTCCACCCTTTTGCGCAGCCCCGCCTCGCGTGTCACGGGCCACCTTGCCTCCCTCGAGCCAATTCTCCGCTGCCCAAACACGGTTTTCGCGATGATATCCCTCCCTCGAATCCTCTAGAATCATACTCCTTATCTATCGCGCAACTGAAAGATGTCGGAAATCAGACTCCCGACCGGGTTGAAGATGGAGGACTGCCTCGGCGGCGGACTTACGGGCATGGCGTACCTAGACGAGACCTCCGAGACTTTCAAGACTGTCATAAAATTTCCTCACGAAGGAGACGAGCCCGCTATGGATATTGAGAGACAGATCTACGAGCGCTTCCAGCAACACGGCGGACATGAAGGTCTTCTGCGGTATTATGGCACCTTCGAACTCGGCATCCGGCTAGGATATACGAGCGAACGTAATCTCCGCCAATACCTCAAAATTCATGATAAGATTGACGCCAAGCACCGACTTCAATGGAGTCAACAAATTACTAGTGCGCTTGCTTTCGTTCATTCGATGAATGTGATTCATGGGGATGTTACGTGTCACAACATTTCTTTAGACGACAGCCAAAACGCGAAGCTCTTTGACTTTGGTGGTTCCTCAATAGATGGCTCCGAGCCATTAATTGTGGTGACTGCAAGCCACAGGTGGCCTGGAAACGACGACAAATCAACCCAGGTAGACTTGTTTGCCCTTGGCTCCACCCTGTACGAAATCTGGACCGGCAAACCTCCATTCCATGGGCTTTCAGACGTAGAAATCACCAAGCTGTTTAAACAATCGGAGTTTCCTAAGACGCAAAGTCTAGGACCAATAGGCGACGTTATTAGAGGATGCTGGCAAGGCAGGTTCGCAAGTGCAGATGATGTTCTTGAAGGTAAGTGTATTGTTAATCTCAATAATTGTCATCTACTAACGCTGCCCAGCCATAAACTTCTGTAATAGAACTAGTCTTCTAACTTCTGTGATGAATATTGTCTCTGCTCCACCCGTCCGCGAGACGACCATTGCGGTGTCGGTTCTTGGCTTGGCCCTGTTCCTTAGAGTTCACAGGTTAGCGAGGCGATAACGAAATGGAAGAACGGAGCTCTACCTAGAGGAGCTTAGGCGCAGAGCGGGCATTTTCCTTTCCTCGTAGTACTGCCAAACATAATGGGTTCTCCGTTTTTCCCTTTGGCCTGTTTGAGATCGTTGCAATGGCCGGTTGCAGCAGTGCCATTCTCGCAGTAGTCGTATCTGCGCTCTTGGAAGGTGTGTCCTTGCGTGCAACTAGCGAATTTGAAGGGGGTGTCAGAATAGTTACACATTCTGCTTGCGTTGAGATGCGTGTCCAGGAACAAACGTTAGATGAGCAAAGTTAGCTATCTTATACTCCTATGCGCATTGGCTACAGCAACGCTGATAACACCAGAGCGCCTGTGTGGTTAGCTAGGACATTGCATGCGTCAAGTGCCTGCAGGTTGCTGCATCTTGAGTGCGACTCCTACGTGCGTTGGTGGATGCCTAGAATACCCCGCTACTTGTGCTCCTGCCGTATCTCGGTTCGCCTGGCGCGGCTGCTCTTTTCTTCATCTTCCTGCATCCGCTGCTTCTGTCTACCTGCCTCCTGCACTTCTTACCGTCATAGCCATAGCCTTCTTCTCCGTTCTATTTCCCAATCTTGTCCCTGAGCGTGCGCTTCAGCGTGGCGGTTATTACAGCCAACCGCGGAGATATGTGCTGAGTACACAACCTTGAGACACACAAGGAGAGAGAGCGTCAACGGCAATATGGCAGACAGACTGCTGTGTAGAAATAACAAACGAGGAGACTTAAGCACGCTATTATAAGAAAGGACCAACTGTGGAAAGGCGGCGTTCAACCTGGGAAGGCAACAGCCACGCAGATGAACAGACTACGGACTCAGCTACCTCAACACCACACTCGCCAGAATACTCTACCATAACATCAAAGCAACAAGAAGAGGCTATGTATAACAGTCTGCTTAAGTGTATGTATGCACCTACATCCGTGTGCGATGCTGGCTGCTCACCAGCACCTGCAAAAGGCGCGTCAAACTCTGAGACCTGATGCGCCATTGTCCTGTTTTTAAACCGAGATGTTTTCCTGAGTTTGAGGTTGTCTTGTCTGCGCCCGGCCACCGACGTTATTAAGTCCTGATTATTGGAGGTAGACCCTTCTAGTTTTGATGGTTGGTATTGCGGCAGTCATGCGCTGTGTCTTAGTAGCCGATCATTGACACTGCTATACCGCACTAAAGGCTAGGTTTATATACCCGTGTTCGCAACATTGTCCAGTAGTAAAGCCTCGGGTAGTTTCACACAAGAGTGGCGGGTCTGCGGCTTAGAAACTGCGTTGTTCATAATGATGAACTTGCCGATATAAGGGAGGAATGAATTTATTTATCGGCGCTTAAGCTGGCGCGTCGGTTTCACATCAGCCTCGTCGAACAACAATGATTCGGCGATGCATCCCCAAACGGAACCGCGCGGTTGGTTAACTATACCTATCACGTATCACCTAGCGCCTGTTCCCATTATAGCAGTCAGCGTTCGCTTGCCGCCTTGCCTAGATTTTACTGTGCCGTATTGGCCACTGCTATATAATCAAGACTTATTCCCGAGAAATCAGGGTCGTCTAAATCACCACGAGGCGGATTTCCTATCATTCAATTCAAACCTTTTGTCATATAGTTTACCAACCACCAAGCGTGAAAGCCAGACCATGACTACTACCTACCTTGGACCCTTGGTAGGCGGGAGGATCAACCAATACGCAAATTCCGCTGGCCAAGTCTATTACCACGATACTGTTGCAGGGACGACAAGTTATGCAATCCCGAACGGGTTCCAAGATGGCCCAGGCGTACGTTATTCCCGTCTCGTAGGTCCCAATGTCGTGCCGCTGATGGTAATACCTGACAGGATACTTGGACCCTCGACACGACAAAGAGTTGGCCACAATGGTACGTACGGTGCATGGCGCATGCATTGCCAACCACACTGAACAATGCCCTCCAGGAACAACAGCAGAACGGGGAGGGCAGTCCTCATCAACCCTAACCCTCCTCCGCCTCAAACATACCTCGACGATATCAACATCAAGGCCGCCCTCGACCTTCTAGTTAGGGTACCGGACTCGGGCGAACACGTCTACCGAAGGCCTATAGGAGACATCCTTCGCTTCATCTTCCCCTCGAGCGAAGGATATTCTGTGGTCCAGGAGACGGTGTCTATCAACACCCAGCCCGACTTCTGCCTCTTTAAGGTTTCTCAAAGGCCTGGCGGAACCCTATACCAATACGAGTTCATGCTCGTGGAATCCAAGAAGCCGGGAGAGGCTTGGGCATCCACAGAAGATCATCTCCACGATCATCTCGAAGGAAATGGGAATGATTCCAAGAATTGCTACGGAATGGTTCAGATTGGGTTGGATGTGCATTTTTACAAGTACGAAAACTCCAATTTCAGCAGGATTGGGGGACGGATGCACCTCATCAACGATGCCAACAACGTTGTAGCCTGGGGTCGACACATTAAGGATAACCCCATGCCGTTCGTGTAGACTAGCAGGTGGGTCGTCAATGGGAGTGACGGATATCGTACCGCCAATATCGGATGATCGTTGGATGGAGATCTTTCGGGTTTTCTATCGGTTTTGTAAGGGATATTTAGGGAGTACGACTCACGATCCATCGATAGTCAATGCAATCGTCAAGCTTCCTACTGTGCGATAGATTAATAGATTAGATTGATATCTTACAATGGGCGTTTCGAACACGTTTACTTGTATGCTATACCACTAGGGTAGCCATCGAAACAAATATGCGACTCCACAGGAGTCCAAGGCGTTCTAGACCGACAGCCCTCTTCTCTTTCAATGTTTCGGTTGCCGCACCTCCATGTAAAAACTGACCCAGCGTCAAGTAAGCAGCCAACCCTGGCGCTCTCAATTGGTCCCGCTGATACCTTGCCAAGGATAGCATCCTGTAGCTCAACGGGGAGCTTGCGAAGAGGAGCCGTAGGGGCGCTGGTTTGCGTGGCTTGGAGAAGGAGCTCGATAGCTTCGTCAGAAGGAGGATGCATCCCATTAAATAGACGCTTGGGTTCCGTGTATCTTTCGAGCTCGCTGTTTATCCGATATAGAATAAGCTCCCGCACCGAGAGTATGAGGTAAGTGAGACTTTTTTCTGCCGAACCAGGAGTAGACAGGATCTGCTTCGCGAAATCCTTTCGGACCAGCGTGACCGCGTGCGGAGCATGCTGGCATATGACGATGGACGTCCCACCGACCCTGACAATGTGTCCACTTGCAAAGCCCCACTCTGGGAGGTTGTCTATCCAGACCAGGAAGCCGCCAGTACCCTGGCGTGAGAGCGTTGCTTCTTTAACGGTAAAGTCTAGAGTAACAATCCTGACGATAGCATTGGCAAGCCTTCGAAACGTAGAGTTGTTGTAACGACCACAGAGGACGTGCCTCCACTGGAACGCAAAGTCGGCGAGTATCCTAGAGACGAAAGCCTTGCGCCGCTGTAGGCGCTGCAGGTTAATATCCTTGCGTCTCATTTTCCAGCACGGCGCTGAGTAGACGGATTGTAAGGCGTGTTTAGCGAGTGTCGGCGGTGATTCGTAAGGCTCGAAATCGGAAATGGTTATAGAACGCTGGCGAACAAGGTTGAGAGGAACCCAAAGGTTGCGATCTCTTTGGTCTAATCGCAGAATATCGCGATCAAGGTCAAAGGTCCAGACTGCTCTAACGTGAGTCCATCGGCGGTCGTTAAAGGGTGTAACGAGGTCGTCCTGCTGATGCCAATCTCGGGCAACCTGCGAGTACAAAACATCAAAGGTAGATTCTATATCCATGAGCGCTTTTCGCCGTCCATGCCGGGCGATGATGGTACTACGCACCTCTTGCTACGCCCATAAGCCTGCTTGAATACAATTGCAGCATGGCGCCATCTTCGGCAGAACGATGTGCAGCAAAATAGACGGTTCCTGGTATTTCGTGAGAAACACAGGCCGTTTATGACTGTATTATAATGGCAACGTACCCTGCAAGCTAAGGTTGATATACGCTGCCATGGCGAGCCGTGGACGGAGGCGAAATACTGGAACGGTTGAGCTGGGCGTGGGGGGCAACGACAAATTCGGTGCAGTCGCTCTGCGTACGTTGGCCGGCTTGGCAGAGGGCCACGTGTGAAGATTGAGGCGAGATAGGGAGAATCGACGGTGGGGAGAAGAAGGCGAGCCGTAGAGAGGGGAAGGTTAGGAGGTCCGGAGCGTTACTTATGGCGACTTGTGTTGCTGAGTCAACCAACGAGCGCGGGGTCTTCGGAACCTCAAATTCGCTCTCATTTCGGAGTCGGATTTTATATATTCCGAGCGTCCGCAGGGGGAAGGCTTTGCACAGCCACACGCCTGTCAGCCACTGTAAGTAAATTACACCGTCATGATTATGTTGGCTGTTTCGCACTAGCAGGGATTGGTGATCGCTTCGGTTGGAGGTGCCATCGGCGTGGCGAACTTGCCCTGCTTAACGCCCCTAACTCCGGCCTCACAGCCTCCCAGCAGGCAGCCGTCCATGCCTCAAAGGCGCCACAAGATTCAACTCCCCACGTCCACCCTGCCAGCTGTCCTTCTCCCACTCCCTCGATCAAAATCAAGACTGGTTGCGCACTCCTCTCCCCGCGGGGACCGCCGTCTCGTCCACGAACTCCAAAGTTCCCGCAGTCAACAGTCATGGCTCCACGACGACTGATGCAGTGCGACATGGACAATGACAATTTCCTGCGCCAAAGAGGATGACCCTCTCCCGGACAAAGCGCATTGCGCGTCTAAGCGCACCGTCTTGACCCCGACGGGTAGCGCAAAGTGAACTTCCGACCCACGTCATCATTTGACAAAGCTGCGGACCGCTCGACCAATTTTGCTCTCCCGTACAACCATACCTCCGAAGCCACTGTCGGACGACACTATGACACGCCAGGGGCGGCTAAGGAGGCGGTTGGGCAATGTTCTCAAGGGTGGCTACACTCCAGGAGGTCCGAAGGACGCGATTGAGCAGGACCCGGACTTTCCTCTGTCCGTAACATGGAGCCGATTGACGAAGAGTCCTTTGATCATGAGGATAAATGTACTCTGGCGGACTTTGCGCTCATCGACACCCTACAACAGGTGAAGAAGATATTTAAGGGCGTCATTCTCTGTACACAGTTCGGAAGAGACGAGAATGCTTGGTGCTTCAGCGTTGTCTGGCCACTTACTGAACTTGCTATCAAACTTCACTACAAGGACAAGTGGCAGCCTGAGAGCGTGTAAGTCCTACTCTCGCCGAATGCCTTCACCGCTAAACTCGCAGGCAGTCCTAAAGGATAAACCCCCTATACCTCTCCCGCATACCCGACCCCTCCACGCCGAACAAAGAACGTCATCTCTTCTGCAAAACCGATTTCTGCTTCTCGTATTCATACCTCGATCCGCATTTCCGCGCGCTATACAACAGGTTGGAGAGGTCAATGCAATAAACGTCCCGCATACCACAGTCAATTTCACCTCGCGCGCTGTCCTCTTCTCAGGGATCGGGGTTAAGCCGGAGAATGGTGACCAGAAGGAGGCAGAGCTGCAGACGGGATGTCGCCCGCTAGTCGCCAGATGGAGAGAAACTCAGTGCAGCGACAGCACCACCCACGCGACACGTGCAAACAAGCAACGCTAGTCAATACCCACAAGCTTCTGCATCTCAACGTTATACCACAGCGCAGCAAACTAGTTCGACACGTCAGCTGTCCGTACTACGTATATGACCAGCCGCCTCCCCTCTTTTACCATTGGCACCTACGTGCTGGCGTTAAACGACCAGTGCAGGTCCGCCCGCAGCAGCATCCTGTTTAGCGCCAACTAAATCTCCAGGTCGCTGCTCTCGCCTATGTTAGTGACTCACCACTTCCCCTCTCGCCTACCAAGACCAGGTACGCTTGCTTGCGTAAGTCCATAATGTCCAACACACGGCACGACTAGTCACGGCTCTTAGGGTCCTCCATATAGCCGCCGTTGCGGAGTAAGGGCGGTGGGGGATCAATAGGGAGCGTAGAGAAGGCGGAGGAGAGGTCGGCGTCACAGGGACGCGCCAGTGATCCCACGAGACATAGACGGGGTATTTGTCTGCAGAAAGTGACTTGTCAGTGGCGCGCGGCCATGGCGAATTGACTGTGGCTGTAACTGACAGGTGTAATGGCTGACAAAGTAGAAGATGTCGCCATCGGCGGCGACCAACGGCGCACCTCGCTCGCACACGTTGCTGCCGTCGGCTGAGCGAACGAGCGAACTAGCCGGTGTTCTAGCTGTTGTCGGAGATGATGCCGCAGATGATGAGGGCTACATCGTAGTCGACTGTATCCCTGTCGTCTAGGGCGGGCAGCTTGACGAGCGTGTTGCAGTCCGGGCGGCGGACATAAGAGGTGCTCTGCGTCGCTCTCGGCTACACCGCCGTCACCTTCCGTCACCTCTAAATCCCCGTGCCATCCAAGTACAAGCCTCCCTCCAATAAGTATGGACTGTCTGCCGCTAGCTCCGCCGGAAAAGCGCCATAATTAGGGCCATCTTTCCCCGTGAACGTGGTCCGCATAAATGCATCCTGCGATCCTGCGATCCTGAACACTGGACGTCGCTACTAATACCTTTAGGAACACCGAGTGCGGTGTGCCTAGAAGCTGCGCCTCTTAATTAAGGGCCGTACGGGAAATTAGTCTGGACACGCTTCGTCAAAGTGTTCCACGATGTCTAGGGAATGGCCGGCTTCGTCTAACTCGAAGTCGCAGTTGTTCCGGCATGCATGAATCCCCGCCACCTAGTTCTACCATTAAATTCAGCCACCTCATTACCATCCGATCCCAGCTCCTCCTTAAATCCATGCCTAATACTCTCTAATTATCTCCGTATGACGTCTACGCATGAAGTTGCCCTACTCTAATACGAATCCTAAGCCGCTCACAAGGTCATAGCAGCGCCGTGTTTGAGAGTTAAATGTGATCGTTCCACTCACTGTCACCACCCTGTTGGCACAGAGACCACGTTATATCCCATCTCTTGCCGACTAACAAGCGTGGCATGCCGTAATACCACGCCTCTCCAGCGGCTCGAGCTCCTCTACGGGTGCACTAGATGTTAGCTCCTGTCTTAGCAGGTTGAGTAATTTAATGCTCTAGAGTCTATCTTCGCATGAATATACCCTTATCCAACACATCCTCAATTCTAGGCCGATTCAATCTAATCTTACTGTGCGTGGACCTAGGCTAATATAATAGGTTCGGCGGTAAGGGTATAGAAATTACACTCTCTGCTAAGGCTGTCACTTAGCTCGTCACTAGAGATGTAGGCTAATTTCTGCCACCTAGACATGGCTCGAGTGCTACCAAGCGTGTCACTTATTATAGTTTTTACCGTACTATCGAACGTGGAGGGAACAACTAGAACCTAGCCATATTTATTAATAAGCTAGATAAACGTTAAGGGTGTATACGAAAATTAAGACACAGATAATAGGCTACACTACCTTCTTACCTTTCTATAAGGCTTTGAATGCGTAGATAGCAGTTAGAGAAGGTAAGGTGTAGGCGACGAGAGACGGATAGTTAAAGGAGGTAGCTAAGCCGAAGGCAGCAGTCTTAGCCGAAACAAAGCTGCACGTGACTAGGAAAGTATAGCCGAGTTAAGTTCCCTAAACAGGCCTGTTCGTTTATGCTTAGAGGCTGTGCAGGTCTAGTTTTAGACCTTCTAATATATACTTAGACTTAGATTAGAGATCTTCTAGAGCGGCTTACTTATAGCTTAGATTAAAGTAGTAACTACTTAGGCTAGTAACTATAACTAAAACTAGTTATATAAGAGAAGTTTACTTATCTCTATAGGTAGTTATACTCTATATATAGAGTAATAGATTCTACTAAGAAATATTAGAAGGTTAGAGATTATAAGAGTAAAATCTAGACTAATAAGATATTATATAGTATATTAGGCTAGACTACTATCTAAATTAAATATCTATAGTCTAAACCTATTATCTACTCTACTACTATATATCTATCTTAATATTTTTAAAAGTTATTAACTTCTTCTATCTTAGATACTAGAAGCTAAAGAGCTTATTAAATATAAGTCTTTTAATACTCTTAACCTAAGATACTACTATATATAGAAGACTAAAAGTATAGTCTTTAGTACTACTTATAATAGTCTAGTTTAAAGATTTATCTTAGGTTATATAACTTTAGATTACGTAACCTTATTACGTAATCTAGCCTAGCGTCTTAGTACTTAGTTCTTCTATATATAGAGCTTCTTAAAGCCTTTTTTCTACTTCTTATCTTTAGATAGCTAAATTTAACTTAACCTACTCTACTAGTATCTCTTATTCTTATAGCTTATAGAGATAGTACTATCTATAGCTAACTTACCTAGCTAGATATTTAGAGACGCTTATAGTAGTAGAGACTATAGAGCTAGCTCTTATATTATCTAAAGGTTAATACCTCTTTAGCTAAAGATAGTAGTATAATATTAGACTAAACTAAGTAGTCTTATAAGAAGTATTTACTAATAGCTATACTAAGAATTAGAGCTATAAAAGCCTAGTTACTTACTTTAAGAATCTATTAATATACTAATTAATTACTTACCTCTAGTACTATATAAGACTACTAGCGAATCTAGTTAGTAGTAGAAAAGATACTACTAGTAGTAGACTAAAGAGAGCTATAAGAGCTCTATATATAAGAGAACTTCTATAGAACTTCTATATATAGAAACTCTCTCTATTTTAAAAATTAATAATTCTCTACTCTACTAGTAGAGCTAATAATTAGCTACTACGCTAGTAGTATATACTTTTACTTCTTAAATAAAAAGCTATATCTAAGTTAAACTACTTAAATACTATAGGTAAACTCTTATAAAGTAATTCTAGAAGTAAAACTCTAGTTTTATAGTACTCTTTTACTTCTATAATTCTTAAATTCTAGATAGAAAACCTGCTAGCTAGCTACTTAAAATAATATTATTATTATAAATTATCTATTTAATAACATAATATAATAACTAATAAGAATTAGAATAATAACTTTAAATAGAAGCTAGTATAGCTACGCTAGAGCTTAGTAATACCTAGATTATTAGTAGCTAATAGCTCTTATATACTCTTTACCTCTAGAAAGAAGCTTTAAGAGCTTTTTCTAGAAAAGCTAGATAAAATTATTAATAAATTAGTTAGCTAATTACTTATATACTAGGTACTTATATAAT